TTATTTGGAAACATTTATTGCTTTATAGGTAATAGAATCATACTTCTTAAACTCAAACGGATTTTACATTTATGTGAATGAGTCTGTCCCTTTGTTTTTGGATATGAATGGACCGACATCTAAAAATAAATTATGTTTCATATCTAAAGTAAAACCACCGTACAGAAAAAAAGAAAATCGATTGAAATTTCGTGTATGCAAATATGAAAATGCTAGAGTAGCACATGAAAACGCCGTTAATGATATTTTGGGGAAACCTATTTCTATACCAGATCCATATTTAATAAAAAATCCTATTTGGTCTACATGGGCCAAATACAAAAAAAATGTAGATACTAAAACGGTTTTAGATTATGCCAATCAAATTGTGAAGAGTGCTTATCCTCGAGGACAACTTGAAATTGATGATGACTGGGAAACATGTTATGGTAGTGCAATTTTTAATAAAAATAAATTTCCTGATGTGAAACAACTTGTAAAAGAACTGAGTAAGTTGAAATTTTTTTTCTTATTATTATATTAAGTCTACGATACGTTATACCAAACAAAAAATAGTTATTCCAATACTAAAATTAAAATGGTTATGCTTATTTTTCTTCCATAAAGTTTTTGAAATTGTCCACCAATTTTAATTTGCTTGCTTTATGTGAGAGCAGAATATTCGTGTATTTAGAGGAAGTCCATGGATTATAGATCCCATACAATTCTGGCTACATGTTTGTTGTAGGAATAATAGTTTTGATGTAAAGTAAAAAAATATTTTATTTATAAGCTAAGATTATTTTTTAAATATTGAAAACAAATTGAAAAAAGTAATTAATCCTTAAGCTCTATTTTAGTCGATTATTATTGAAATTAGCAATTTAATGATATTTATTCAATATAGTCATAATTACAAAGATTGTATTTACCAAGTATTTAATAACACTCGTATTATTTATATAGAATCTTTAGGTTTTAAAGTTTCTCTTTGGACTCATCCATTTATTAGTCCACAATGTGAATCATATGAATTTGCTAAAACAAAAGATTTTTTTGTGAAAAATACAACTGGCTCTATTGAAACAGCTTGGTGGAATGGTGCTGCTGCTTTGGTAGACTTTACTAATCCTTCTGCTAGAGATTGGTGGTCAGGAAGACTTAAAAAACTACTTGTTGAGACTGGTATTGATACACTAAAGTTTGATGCTGGAGAATCAAGTTGGTATGTGAAGTTAACTATTTGTATATAAATATAATATTATATATAATGCTGTCAACACATTTTATATTTATTCTGACCATAATTATATATTTAATGTATCAGTATCTGATTTTTGGTATATTTATCTATAAATCAAATAATTTTTACTTAAAATGCTCTAGAGAGTGAAAACTGCTGTGTAATGAAATAAAAATATATGAATTAATGTATACATTAATTAAGAGATTAAGCATTTTTATTATAACTTAAAAATATAATTTTTATGAAGGGGACCACCATCGTCTGTGTACTACGATAAGGATCTCACATTTTTTCCTGACAATATTGTAAATGCATACATCGATACTATAAACGAATTTGGCAATGGAATAGAGTATAGAACAGCAAGAAAAGTTCAAAAACACGGACGTTTTGTACGAATGAACGATAGAAATTCGCGATGGGACTGGCAGTTAGGATTACCTACACTTGTAACTACTTTGATTCAATTCAATATGATTGGTTATCCTTTTGTTTTACCTGACATGATTGGAGGAAATGCATATAGAAATGATACAGTGTCAGATGAATTGTTTATCAGATGGATGCAAGCTAACACTTTTATGCCAGCGGTTCAGTTTTCGTTGACTCCTTGGGATTACAATGAAAGAGTATTACTAGTTTCTTCTTATTTATTATTATTATACTAATAATGGATTTAAGTAAAGTTTTAAATTTAAGTCAATAAAGTGGGTTGGGTTAATTTTCTAAAGCGCCAGTCAACTTCATTAATATATATATATATATATTAATTTTGAACAGGGTATATTAAATGTAAGAAAACTGGTAAATTGTGAGGAATAATGGGAACAATGGAAAACCTATTCCTTACTTATTGAATAACCTTAATAGTACACAGTGTATAACAATAAAAGATTTATTAGCAGTACATTCGTATAAAAAATTTCTGAGGAATTGATTAGGCTTTTTTCTTTTGTTTTTACATGTGATGATTATTACTACTCTTTTTATTAATAAATTTTTTTTTTAATTTTAAAGAAATTTTATTTCTTTATCACTAAATATTTTAAATTAAAAAATTTCATGTAAACAATAATAACTTAACAAGCAAAGTTAATATGTCTATTTTACAAATATATCAAAATATTCATATACTATTATCAAATTGTTTATGGAAATAGACGAATAGTATTTGCAAAAAGTTTATGGATCTTCACCAGAAATATGCAGATCTTATTGTGCAATTGATGGAAAATGCTGTGAGCACTGGTACTCCAGTTAACCCTCCTATATGGTGGATCGACCCAACTGATACAACGGCTTTCTACATCGATGACGGTGAACTATAATCGAAAAACATTTGCTTGTAAATAATAAATTAATAACTAAAACATATGTTTCAGAATTTCTTTTGGGTGAAGACATTCTCGTTGCTCCAATCATGGTTCAAAATGCTATAAAACGAAACATTTATCTTCCAGCCGGTAAATGGAAAGACGAAAATAATCCCAATGGATCTTTAATTAATGGTAGGAAATGGATATAT